CCACAACATTGACAGTCAACAGTCAATGTCGAGTTGTGTGACTCGAACGTGTTCCACGGGAGTGCATCCACGTCAATGCCATGAAGAAATTGACGGTCATTTGACAGGCGATCCCAACTGATCGCGCGTTCCCAACCTGAGTCATCGTTGAGGGAAAACTTGATTTCGCTTACCCTTCGCTGGATGCACTTGCGACCATCGTGGGTTCCCGAATCGGAAGACCCGAAGTCGAATCGGATATCCCGCGGTCCGGGAAAAAATAAATCGGAAGTCCCGAAGTGCGGAAGTCCCAAAGCCAGGAATGCTCCCTTAGTCGTGAAACGACACGCGCTTCGTCCGATTTTGGGGGGCCTGAGCACGAAAAGCCCGAGAACTTTGTTCGCGATGCCAGCCCAACCACATCAAGACGGTACAGTTGTGTCTTTTCAGGAATGCTGAGGGTTATACGTTTGCCGATTTAGTGAAAACAGATCAGCGACAGAAACATTTCAAGTCGCAACGGGAGCGTAATTTGTGGCTAGCTGGCTCTGTGGCAGGGTCAGCGCAGCGTCGGGAAGCCCTTTGATGGGCTGATTGCCGTTGCCTGCCCCTGCTGGCGCCGCCACCTATTCGCGCGAAGAAAGCCCAGGGTCCCTTCGATTTGACAGCACTGACAGGCTGCCAGCGTGGCGCCGCGGCAACTCAAATCTCGATTCTTGTGCCAGCTGATCTTCGATCCCAGAAGTTTGCTTTGAGCTACACGTGGAGAAAACAAGCTTCCAATTACATTTCATTCACTGTGATGCAAATATACAGTATAATAGCATAGTGAATTAGTACCTACCGGTACCACAACTGCTACAACAGCTGCTGCCTTTGAATGTTAGCTACCATTAAGAACACCCAGCTCGCCTGCACAACCTTCAATGACCTGCTGCTGCTGATGCGTCGCAATAATAACAGACTGGAAGATACGGTAAGTTGAAGGAATTTCATGACAAGCTCTCAAAGTGCCTCCAGTACCAGTGCTGCTGCTGCTGCTGCTGCTGCTGCTGCTGCTGCTGCTGCTGCCTGCTGGGATGCCGTTGCAGCCGAAGGTGCTGCTGGTGCTGTTGCAGTTGCCGTTGCTGCTGCCTCGTGTGCAGGTGTTGTTGCAACTGCTCCAATTAACAAAGCTGCTGGTACTGGTGGCACTCAAGCTGCTCTCTGCTCTTGCTCCTGCGTTTCCTGAGGCTGGGCGGGGCTGCTGGCTGCTGCAGACCAAGACGGGCCAATTGGATTTTTGTGTTATGGGTGTGAGGGAAAGGGGTTGAGGCAGAAGGGTTGGTAGTGAGAGAGTGAAAGCAGGAGGCGGAGAGGAAGGGGCCGAGGGAGGAAGGGAATTGTTCATAGAGAGTGGGGAAGAAGGAGAAGGGAGGGCAGAAGGCACAGAAGACTCCTCACATTTCTTGGGAATAGATGGGAGTGTGGAAACAGGAAGGTTTGTGGTAGCAGGCTTACTCGTGTTGCTACAGTCAAAGGAGCTGCTGCTGGTACTCTTGTGGGTGGAAATGCTAATAGAGAGGGAAAACATGCAATGAGTAGAGCTAGATGAGCCAGAGGAGGGACGCGTGATTGCATCTCTGAAGATAGGACCAGAGGAAAAAGCAGGGTTGACTGTAACAGGATCAGGGCTTGTAGAGGGGGAAGGCTGGAAACACCTCGCCAAGTTGGAGGCATGAGCCGGAAGGCTTTTGTCACTGGATTTTCTTAGGTTTGCGGAAAGACCATCTGCTGTAACAGGTTTTCGGCAAGTGGTTGGTCGCGGAACAGGGATTGGAATTGGGGCTGACTTTGGCGCGGCTGAAAAATTCGGGGGTACTCCGACTCGTCTTTGAAGGCTTCGGTAAACGCTCTGGTGGGAACCAGCAGTCGTCAGCCACCGATGGTACAGTACTTCGTGCAGACGAATTCGCCGAGTGGGGTCCGCCTGAAGCATACTCCTCACAAGGTGCTTCGCTTCCGTTGAAATCGACGACCACGGATGCTTGCTCATATCGGGATCCCCACGACATGCAGTAGCGAAAATTGCGTTGTGATTATGACCGTAAAACGGAAGAACGCCGGAGAGGCAGGTGTACAAAACAACACCGAGGCTCCAAACGTCGACCTCCGCACCGTATTCCTTTCCGCGCACAATTTCCGGCGCCATGTAAAACGGGCTCCCCGCCAATCCGCGCAACCGAGGCCGCGCGCGGGTCAGCTGCTGCGCCAACCCGAAGTCCCCTACGCGCACCTCCGAGAAACATTCCGCGGAAGAAGCGTCGGCGCGAGCGTCGGTAGCTGCGCTGGCTAGAGTGGCGGAAGCGCAGCTGGCGGAGGGCGCGCGGAGGAGGAGGATGTTTTCGGGCTTGAGGTCGCGGTGAACAATTCCGCGCGTGTGCATGCACAGCACGGCGGAGACGACCTGGCGGAATATCTCCGCGGCTTCCCGCTCCGCCAGGCACTTGTTGCGCGCGACGTGGTCGAAGAGGTCCCCCCCCGCGCAGTGCTCCACGATGAGGTGCAGCGCGGACTCGTCCTCCGCAATCTCGAACAGGCGCACGATGCCCGCCGTTATAGGCGCACGCCGCGCACCAGGTAAGCTCTCCTCCGCCGTCGCCGCCGGCGCTTCCGCCTGCAGCAGCAGCGGAACGAGCACCTCCGCGCGGAGCTCCTTGAGATCCTCGGGTCGCTGAATTTTGTCCTTGAGAATGGTCTTGCACGCGAACCGCTCCCCCGTGCGCGCATCCGCGCACTCGCGCACCACGCCGAAATGCCCGCGCCCCAGTTCTCGCCCAATCTTGTAGCAGTCCTGCAGCCGCGGCGCGCCGGCAGTCCGGCGCCGCCAACCGTCGACGGATAGCGGGAAGCCAGCGAGCCGCGTGGTTTCAAGCTCGTAAAATAGGTCCGTCACGTAGTCCTTAATCTCTGAAGTCGAGGCTCCATGGCGAAGGGAGAAGCGCTTTGTTGGCTGCTTACTGTTCAGGGTCCACATTTGTCGATTATTAATTCCAATGCCGTTCTGCTGGCCGCTTACTACGCCGGTTTTTTAGGCGCCAATAAAAAAATCGCCCGAGTGATAATCAATTAACCGCTATTGCGAGTCGCGCTCTGGTGAGGTACGGTGCAGTGCGACGATTATGGCGAGTTTTGCGGACAACGCCGTCACTTTCTTGCACTGCCTTGACAACGCGACGATCCGGTGGCCTGATCAGTCTGAGAGTATCACGCGATACTAGGATTTGACCACGAATCAAATATTTGGCGCCAATGCGGCGGCGTCGTAGGTCAACCCGTCACGGATCGCTAGGCTGGAGGTCAATACAGCATTCCGTCAGCCATGAGAGAAAGTCGACCATGTACCTGCACCGACATATCCCGTCATAATCTCTCATCGTCGCCTCACGTTCCCTATACAGTACTCCCGTCTGGGAGCTGTTAGCATAGAAATTCACGACGACATCAGCTGGTTCCGGTGCGTACTGAGGAAGTACGTCCTCCGACCAGCAGCAATCCATTCGATTGGGGGAGAGGTGTAGTGAGCGCGAGCAGAGCTCCACCAACCTCCTCCCCTTCCCGTACCGTCGTGTTCTCTCGCCCCTGACCTAAGTGATGCCCGCCCTGTTCCCATTCCATTGCCCAAATGCATTTTCCGATCTAGGTTCGTGTATAGCAGGGGAGCAGAGCTGTTCGTGTACATGCTGCTGGCGGTTCGCTACCCTATCCGACCCGAAATGGTGATGATGGAAGAAATTACGTCGCTGAAAGGCGGCGCTATCACGACCCTCGTTGGGCACGTGTCGCTGCGAGAGGGCTTGTTCTTTCTATGTGTATCAAGGTTCGGGTCCCGTCACTACCAGGAACATTTTAATCTCCAGCAAACTCTCAAAATGTATGGGAGGTTTCCCTGGGCAAGCTGATGTAAAGAGTGTGAACTTTATAAGTCACTTCAAGCGAGTTTGACCGAAGCCTAGTTGGCACTGACATACACTTAGCCCCAACAAGGCGAGAACGCCATTAGACAAGGCCGTTTGAAAAGTGTAAATCCGCGAGGGCTGAACATTTTAAAGACGGGGTATGTGGATTCGTCAGGACTGACCCGTATCTGTTGGTCGGCGGAACTCCGTTTGTTTTCACTCACGGCACACCCAATCGACACAACACGGGTCGGGACGGATCGCCTCGGAAATATCATACGTGTACAAAAACGAACCGGTGTCGTGGTCAAGGTTGGAGAGATCGAAGGTGTCGGTGTGAGAATGATCAAGAGCCTTCTAAGCAATTACGACGATGCCACTTCGAAGATCGCAATTGTCGGTCGGACTTGAAACCCTGTTTTGCAGCCACACGTCTCGTCAGAAGCTGTCGTACGGCGCACACGTATTAGCCGTTGGTTGAACACTTTCATCTTTTCTGAAGCCGAGTCGTCGCCCGGATGGTCAGCATACGTCAAGCACACTGCCTTAGAGCAACCCCTAATGGTTGACGAAAATCGCTAAACACCAGCAGGTCTGTTGAGATGAGTGTTACAGTATCAGAGTGTCACGGTATTTTATGTGTTTGTTTCTCAGAAAACATTCTATAATCATTAACCATCGCCCTAACCACTTAAAGAAGCGGTAGAAGTGGATGTGGAAGGAGAGGGCGAATTCATCATGGAAGGCGGCGCTCGTCCTCCACAACGCTGAAAAGAACCAACATTCTACATACGATATGACCGTCTAGGAAAATCCACTACCTAATCACTCAAGCGAGATGGCAACTGGCAGGGGAGAAGGACGGCAGGTCCGGCCCAGAATCCGGTGCGGACCGAGCCACAAGCGCGGCTGCCATGATGGGCAGCGGGAGTGCGAGGATCCACTTGTGGAGGCGGTAGAAGTGGATGTGGAAGGAGAGGGCGAATTAATCGTGGAAGTGCAGGCGACGCTCGTCCTCTATTTGTAAGTGTTGGAAAATAACAGATACCCCACAGAAAAGCGTCCAACAAAACCATATCCTACTCAAGCAAGATGGCGACTGGCAGGGGAGAAGGATGGCAGGTCCGGGCCCGAATCAGGCGCAGAGCGAGCAACAAGTGCCGCCGCCATGACGAGCAGCGGGAGGGCGAGAATCCATTTGAGGAGGCGGTAGAAGTGGATGTGGAAGGAGAGGGCGAATTCATCATGGAAGTGCAGGCGGCGCTCGTCCTCCATCTCAATGAAGAAGGTGGCGTGCGTGCGGCGCTTGGGCGTGGGGATCACCAGCGTGTGCACGCCCGCGTGCTGGAAGGTCTCCTCGTGTGTCAGCTCCCTCTTTGCGTCGTCAAAAAGCCACACCTGAGACAAGGAGAGGGGGTTGGGGTTGGGGTGGGGGGTTTAGCCTAGGGTTTCTGCCCTGGGTTTCAGCCTGGGGTTTCTGCCTGGGTGGAGGTGGGAGTGGGAGCAGATGTGGAAGCAGGCGAGGAAGGAGAGGGCGAGATGGAGGGGGAAGTGCAGGCGGCGTTCGTCCTCCATCTCAATGAAGAAGGTGGCGTGCGTGCGGGGCTTTGGCATGGGGATCACCAGCGTGTGCACGCCCGCGTGCTGGAAGGTCTCCTCGTGTGTCAGCTCCCTCTTTGCGTCATCAAACAGCCACACCTGAGGCATGGAATCAGGGTGGATGGGAGAGTGGGTGGACGTGGGGATAGCCAGCGTGTGCACCCCCGCGTGCTGGAAGGTCTCCTCGTGTGTCAGCTCGCGCTTTGCATCATCAAACAGCCACACATGAGAAATGGGGTGGGGGTGGGTGTGTGGGTGACAAGAGGGTGAATAGCCCGTGAAAATTCCAAATCATGGGTCGGTTCACGCTTGGCATCGTCAAACAGTCACACCTAAGAAATGGGGTGGGGGTGGGGGTTGGTAGCGGGTTTTGCGCGCATCCGCAATCTCACAAGTCTCACCTTGACCTTGATGTACGGTAAAGTTGACCTGGATGGGTTAGAGTCTACCACAAGTCTCACTCACCTTCGCCTTGTACAGCCCAATGTGAGCGCCATGTGCCCCACCATGACCAAGGGGGTTACGCGCATCAACAATCTCGAAGCTGACTCGAAAGGAGCCCTTGCCAATGTCACGGTACAGGCGGGAGAGCAGACAATAGGCACAAGTCTCACCTTGACCTTGTACGGTCCGATCTGAGTGCCATACACCCCGCCGTGCCCAAGCGGGTTACGGGCGTCCACGATCTCGAAGCTGACACGGAAGGAGTCCTTGCCAATGTCACGGTACTGGCGGGAGTGCGGCAGCATGTAGATGCCCTCGTGACCGTAGCGTGGGAAGAACACATTGCGCCCCTGGTTCTGGGATGGCCACGCCTGGTTGACTCACAGTGAATGGTGGGTTGGCAGGGGGATGGAAAAAGAGTGGGGAAGAGGGGGTTGAGGTGATTTTAGGAGGAGCATGTGGCTGTGTGTGATTCAGAGGTGGCTGATGGACGGGGAGGTAGGAAAGTGGGTTGGGAAGGAAGGAGAGAGGGCAGGCAAGGCATGAGGCGGATGTGTGGTGGCACTGGCGGCAGCATGTAGATGCCCTCGTGGCCGTAGCGTGGGAAGAACACATTGCGCCCCTGGTTCTGGGACGGCCACGCCTGGCGGGATGGGAGACAAGATAGAGGTGGGAAAGCCACACTGAGTAAAAGATAAAAGAGGGGAATTATTGGAAGAGCGAGTGCTTTGTGTGATTGAGAGGTGGCTGGCGCATGGGGAGGTGGGAAGTAGGGTGGAACGCCATGTGAAGGAGGCCAGGAAATGAGGTGTGTGCGTGGCGGTAGTGACAGGGGTATGGCAGCAAGTAGATTCTCTTGTGGTCACAGCAAGGGAAGAACGAGCCGTGAGAGAGGGAAACTACCTTGATCGATCTCGCAGGGTGTTTTTGAGAATTGTCAAAAACACCCTGCAGCATCATAAAACTCAAAAACACACTGCAGCGGCAGGGGTATGGCAGCAAGTATATTCTCTTGTGGTCACAGCAAGGGAAGAACGAGCTGTGAGAGAGGGAAACCACCTTGATCGACCTCACCTTGTGAGGGTGGTACTGCACGGGCTTCTGAACTGAAAGCAGTAGACAGCGCCGTTTATGGTGGAAACCACCAGTGCTAATTGCACAAATGCGCAAGCCACAACCACTGAGCCTCACTGTGCCTTGCAAGTGGGTTCTGTCTCACTTTCAGCGGGTGGTACTGCACGGACGTCTGGAAGCAGTACACAGCGCCGTTCATGGTGGAAACCACCAGTGTTGATCGCATAAAACCACTATTGAGCCCTGACTGGCGAGCATTCCCCTCCATCTATCTCACCTTGAGAGGGTGGTACTGCACAGACGTCTGGAAGCAGTACACAGCGCCATTCATGGTGGAAACCACCAGTGCTGATTGCACGCGCGCACGACATTCCCATTGAGCATTGACTGGGGAACATCCCCCCTGATCATCTTACCTTGAGAGGGTGGTACTGCACGGACGTCTGGAAGCAGTACACAGCGCCATTCATGGTGGAAACCACCAGGTCAAGGTCGTCTCCCCCGTCCACATTCTCCGCCAGGACCATGCTGTACCTGCACGGTTGAAAGGGGCGAGGGTGGGTTGCAAAAAAGAGGTTTGGTGGAGTGGGAGAGAGGAGAAAGGCGAGAAGCGACAGGACTTTGAAAAAACCACCAGATCACCGCCATCCACGTGATTGTACTGGCACGATGCTCGCCATCCACGTGATTGTACTGGCACGATGCTCGCCATCTCTAAACCCACAGGTGGGCGTGGGGAAGAGGCACGATGGTGAGCAGGGCAAGGCTGCCCCCTTCCCCACGCCCTCCTCCCACAATGACTCACGAGGTTTCCGCGATGTCAAACGTGTCGGCGCATCCTGTCCGTCCATCCACGGCGTACAGGAACCCATCAAAAGACACCACCACCAGATGCAACCCGGTTGACGCCCCCACGTGCTGCCCCTTGCTGCCCGCCCCTTCATCCCCTTCCCATGCCCCCTTTCCCTTGACCCTTCCCCATACCCCCATCCCCTTGCCCCATTTGCCCTTGTCCCCCTTTCCTTCCCCAGCCCCCTTCCCCTCGCTCCCTTCCCCCAGCCCTCCTCCCACAGCGACTCACGATGTTTCCCCGATGTCGAAAGTGTCGGCGCATCCTGTCCGTCCATCCACGGCGTACAGGAACCCATCAAACGACACCACCACCAGATGCAGCCCAGTTGAAGCCGAAGCATGCTGCCCCTTGCTGCCCGCGTGCTTGTGCAGGTCCACCAGCAGAATCGGCGCCATGATGCGCCCGTGCGTGCGGAAGGGGAAGGCGCCCACGTCCTTGCCTGTTGTTGAGGGCAGCACACGGGGAGAGGGGGGGGTGGATGGAGGGAGTAAGGAATGTGTTTTACCCCTTGCCGCCCGCATGCTTGTGCAGATCCACGAGGAGAATCGGCGCCATGATGCGCCCGTGCGTGCGGAAGGGGAAGGCCCCCACGTCCTTGCCTGGGGAAGTGCAAGGGTTGGAGGGAAGAGGGAGAGGGATGGAGGAGAGGGTTGGAAGGAGATAGAGTCACGTGCTGCCCCTTGCTGCCCGTGTGCTTGTGCAGATCCACCAGGAGGATCGGCACCATGATGCGCCCGTGCGTGCGGAATGAGAACGCGCCCACGTCCTTGCCTGGAGAGGGAAGGGGGAGGGGCGGGGCCGGGAGGGAGAGGGGGAAACGAGTTAGAACGTGTGCTGCCCTGTCCTGCCCACCCTACCATGCCTTTCTCCTATCCTAAGGCGAAATCTCACCTGTCCTGCCATCCAGCACGTAGATATGCCCTGAAGACGACCCAATGACCACCTCGGTGAACCTGTCCCCATTCACATCACCCACGCTCGCCCCCTGCGCAATCGGCGACGCCAGGTGCCGCTCCCACACCTCCTTGCCCTCCAATGTGAAAGCGGCCCCCTCACCATTACACACAAGCCAAACTCACCTCCAAATTCTCCTTGGGAAATGCTAGTCCTTACCTGTGCGCCCATCCAGCACGTAGATATGCCCCGAAGAAGACCCAATCACCACCTCCGTAAATCCATCTCCATTCACATCGCCCACGCTTGCCCCCTGCGCGATGAGCGACGCCAGGTGCCGCTCCCACACCTCCTTGCCCTCCGAGGTGAAGGCAGCGACGTTGCCGCGGGTGTCGGCTGCAATGATCTCGAGCTTGCCATCGTGGTTCACGTCTGCTGCCACCACCTGCCCCTGCACCTCGCCCATCTGCAGAGGAAAGCCAGGCTTCACCTTGCCTGGGGTGGGAGGGGGGGTGTGCGGGGAGATGAAGGAGGGGTGAAAGAGCGAAATGGAGAAACTGGGAGGGGAGAAGTGGAAGGGGAGAAGTGGGAGCGGAGAGAATGGGAGTGGAGAACAGCGTATGCGACGCAATAAACCATTCAACCATGCACGCACCAAAGGCGTCAAGGCAGTAGATGAAGCCAAGGGACGTCCCAACGATGATCTCCAGAAAGCCATCGCCATCCAGATCCACGACAGTGGGCGCCGAGTAAATGTAAGCACGGAACTGCTTGCTGTCGGTGGTGAGGTCGAGGTGCTGCTGCTGCTGCTGCCTAAGCCGAGCAGAGACCACTCTCAAACCCAGGAACCAACACCAGAACCCACACTAGAACGCACCGAATGCGTCAAGGCAGTAGATGAAGCCGACAGACGTCCCAACGATGATCTCCAGGAAGCTATCTCCATCCAGATCCACCACCGTTGGCGCCGAGTAGATGTAGGCGCGGAACTGCGTGCTGTCGGTGGTGAAATCGAGGTGCTGCGACCACTTGACCTGCTGCTACTGCCTGAACCAAGACTGTGCTACAGACTCCGACTCAACACTCTGTTGTGACGGACCTAACATATGTTGAGGTCCTGGGAAACAAGCCAACAAAGAAGGAGCGTACCAAAGGCGTCAAGGCAGTAGATGAAACCCACGGACGTTCCAACAATGATCTCCAGGAAGCCATCTCCATCCAGATCCACAACAGTGGGAGCCGAGTAGATGTAGGCGCGGAACTGCGTGCTGTCGGTGGTGAGGTCCAGGTGCTGCGACCACTTGACCTGCTGTGTGTGCAGGTCGAACACCACAATGGCGCCCCCGATGTACTTGCTCATGTCCACCCCCTCCTCCAACTCGTGCTTGTGCGCCGGATCCTCGTAGTACCTGGTTAGGTGGCAGGGGGGAAGGAGAGGAAAAGAGCGCGAGGAATGGATAGAGGGAGGGAGGGGGGGAGGGAGGGAGGGAGGGAGGGAGGGAGGGAGGGAGGGAGGGAGGGAGGGAGGGGAGGGAGGGAGGGAGGGAGGGAGGGAGGGAGGGAGGGAAAGAGGGGTGGTGAGACAGGGTTGGGAGGTGAAGGAACGAGGTCGAGGTGCTGCGACCACTTGAGCTGCTGCGTGTGCAGGTCGAACACCACAATGGCCCCCCCGATGTACTTGCTCATGTCCACGCCCTCCTCCAACTCGTGCTTGTGCGCCGGATCCTCGTAGTACCTGATCCACATGGGGGGGAGACAGCAGAAAGGCAAGCAATCATGCAGGCGGAGGGGGGTGGGAGGAGGATGGGAGAGAGATGAGGGATGTACTTGCTCATGTCCACGCCCTCCTCCAACTCGTGCTTGTGTGCCGGGTCCTCGTAGTACCTGGTGGCAGATCAATCAAACCCTGAATTTAAACAAACAAAATCAGCCTTCCTTTCTTCTCGTGCTTTCGTTCTTTTTTTGGGGAAAGGGGGGAGGCGTAGTAGTGGTAGAAGTACCATAGCAGTAGCACGCACGGGCAAGTCCAACAAGTAGTGCATGTGGGACATGCGAACACGACCACGGCATTGCACAACACGGCATGACATGGCATGCTGGCGCCAAGGTGCTGCAAGAAGGCCCAACTGAACTCACTCTCGGTCGAAGAAGTGAGATGGCGCCACCACCAGCTCATCATGGCCATCGTTGTCAATGTCCGCTATCACCTGGTGTGGGGCGGGAGAGCGACGGGGAGAGGGAGAGAGGGACGGAGGCAGAGTACATTTAGTAGAGACACAGATTCGACAGAGACACAGACTATATCGACTAGGATAAACTCCTTACTCGCCTCATGTGACGTCTCCATCAGTCCTCATCCTCCCACATGTTCTCATTCCAGCTAACACGTCCTCCAGCCCCCTCAGCCTCTGCGCAGGAAACAAGAAGCATCTTACCGGCGTGCAGAGGATGTGCGAGTCAACAAGGATGTACTCCTTATCTGCCTCATGCTCTGCCTCCGTCCAGTCCGCGTCCCTCATGGCAACTATCGTATGTACACTCCATGCAACCAAGGCTTACCGGTGTGCAGAGGATGTGCGAGTCAACAAGGATGTACTCCTTATCCGCCTCATGCTCCGCCTCCGTCCAGTCCTCGTCCTCCCACATGTTCTCATTCACATAGTCATCATAATCGTACTGATACTCGTCCCCATCCTCCTTCTCCGCGCGCGGTCCCCCCCACTCATCATCCTCCCCCTCATCCTTCTCTACGTGCTCCTCCTTGTGTGTCTCCCCCTCTCCATGTTGCCCCCACCCGCCGTGCCCCTCGTGCTCCTCTCCCCCCAGCTCCTCCCCCTCCCCCGCTGCCTCCCCCTCGCCCTCGTTGTTCCCTGCCCAGTCATCCCCATCGCCCTCCCACTGCCGGTAGTCATCATCATCCTTGAACACGTCCCAAGACTCTGCGCCCTCTTCATCCAGCTCACTGTCCGGCTCTGCTGTGGGGAACTGCGGGTGAAGGGGAAGGGGCAGACAGGGGAGAAGGGGGTTGGTGGGGGAGGGGGGAAGGGGGGTTTGAATGCAGGCCAGTGTTGCGGTAGTCATCATCATCCTTGAACACGTCCATGACTCCGTGCCCTCCTCATCCAGCTCACTGTCTGGCTCTGCTGTGGGGAACTGAGAGAAAAGAGCGGGGGCGACACACAGACGCACAGCAGAGGAGAAAAGGGGGAATGACGGTTCCAAACAGTCAAGTGCTTCCTCCCACTGCCGGTAGTCATCATCATCATTGAACACGTCCCATGACTCCGCCCCCTCCTCGTCCAGCTCACTGTCCGGCTCTGCTGTGGGGAACTGCGAGTGACAGGGCAGGGTCACACAGAGGAGAAGGTGAGAAGAGACGGGTTGGGAGGGGAAAGGAATGACGAAAGGAACACAGGCCAATGTTGCCTAGCGTATGGTGGTCGCCAGCATGGTGGTCCCCTCCATGCACCTGCAGCAGCATCCTACATTCACCATGCTGACCCCCTTTCCCCCCCAGCACAACCCCTTCCCCATGCCCTTCAGCCTCCCCAAACTCACATCCTCGTGGTCGCCAGCATGGTGGTCCCCGTGCACCTCCAGGAGCCTCCTGCGTGCTGCCCCTACCCCTGCCTTCTCCTCATGCACCTGCAGCAGCCGCCTACGCGCCCCATGCACACCTCCACCACCAGCAACACCACCACCAGCAGCAGCACCAGGCGTGTTTTCCCCCGGGAGCAGCAGTTTGCTCCTCCAGTCCTGGTAATGCTTCCACAGCGCCTGCTCCTTCTCCCCCATCACTCCGCCCCCCTTGGCCGTCACATCCTGGTACCACTTCTCCCACGACTGGATCTTCTGTAAATCCGCCTCCGTTGCTTGGATCTTCCCAGAACCTTCCACCTGCTGCTGCCCCTGCCCCGGCAGTGGCTGCCCCTGCTGCGCTTGCTGCCCCGCTGCGGTTGCTGCTGCGATTCCCCCACTCATGGCGGCAGCCACAGCAGCAGCAGCAGCGGCTGCTTTAGCCTCTGCTGCAGCATGCGCCTCTTTGCTGCACAACCCGTCCTTCCCACAATCCAAATCTGCCAACGCTGCTCCTCGCCCTCCCCCTCCTGCAGCAGCACCAGCACCCCCAGCAACAGCACCGCCAGCAGCGCCCCCAGCAGCACCACCAGCACCAGCAGCAGCAACGCCTGCGCCGTGCCCGGCCGCTTCTACAGGCGGGGGCAAGTCAATCCACCCGCTACTAGCACCTCCAGTAGCAGCAGCAGCGCCAGTAACAAGAGGGGGCAGACCGGGGTCGTTCTGAGGCACATCCACATGCACCCCTGCCTGCACCTGCCCCTGAGGGTGCTGGTCCGCAAGCACTCTAGCGGCAGTGGCTGTGCCAAACGCGGTGTCTGCTGCTGCGTGGGGGATGCCTGGCTGCTGCAGGTCACTCCCATGAGGCAAACCGCCCCCTCCTGCTGCTGCATGCTGCTGCTCAATAAACTTGTCGGGATGCTGCTCTGGATGCTGCTCTGGATGGTGCTCGTGATGCACCTCCTGCGGCTGCTGCTGCAGTGGCTGAGTCTTATACTGCCCCTGCGCTTGCTGCCCCTGCTGTGCCTGCTGCCCCTGTGCCTGCTGACCCTGCGCCTGCCCCGGTGTTCCTGGTGCGTGGGTGTCAGAGCCACCAGCGCCGCGCTCAGCATGGGCGTCAGCGGCAGCGGCGTGCGCCGTGGGTAGGTTCAAAAGGTCGCCCCCCTGATGCTGGTTGGATGCGTTCTTGACTGCTGTCATGTGAAACACAGAGGGGGGGAGGGGAGGAGACAGAGGGGGTTGGATACGAGAATAGCAGCATGAGTCGTGGGCAGGTTCAGAAGGTCGCCCCCCTGATGCTGGCTGGATGCGTTCTTGACTGCTGTCATGTGAAACACAGAGGGGGGGAGGGGAGGGGGAGGAGGGAGAGGAAAGAGAGGGAAGAGGGAAAGAAGACATCACATACTGCTTTGTCCAGCTACTGAGCCTCACATACTGCTACTGAGATGTAGCTGCTTATAACGGAGATATCTCACCATCATCAATGGAAGCGTGGATGTCGGGGTGTGCATGGTCCACGTGGTCTGGGTCTAGCCCCACATGTGCAGTATCTTTCAACGAGGATGTCTCACCAAGTAGTAAGCCTAGCCTATAACGTCTCACCATCGTCAATGGGAGCATGGATGTCGGGGTGGGCATGGTCCACGTGGTCTGGGTCCAGCCCCACATACCACTCCTTGCGGATGCGCAGCCGTGGCACACTCATCTTATAACGAGTCAGCTCCTCTCCACCAGGCCTGCAAGCAAGAGCAAATTGAGTGGGGGTTTCTCAGAAACAAGCTTGGCACACTCACTCATCTTATAACGAGTCAGCTCCTCACCAGAAAAAGTTGAAAACATACAGAATTTAGTGAGTGTAGTGAATTGACATGACCGGGACCAGGAAGAATAGAGCGGTGGAGTGGGATTAGGTGGGCTCAAACGTGAAGGGAGATGTTCTAAGCGTTGTAAACCGCAACGATGGTCTCTCTCCCGCCGTCCTTGTCAATGTCGCACAGCAGGGGGCTCGTGTGCAACTGCCCACGAATAATCTCCCTCACACCATCCTTGTCAATGTCATGCAACAGGGTGTGCAAGCATCTGTGACTGTTCCATCGTCACTGACTGCATCCCATCCCATGCATCTATGACAAGAAGATTGCGGGGTGACTCACGTGAAGGAGAGGATTTCGCCGTTGTAGTCTGCGAGGATGATCTCCCTCACGCCGTCCTTGTCAATGTCGTACAGCAGAGGGCTCGTGTGCGTGCTGGAGCGGTAGAAGGCCGGCCAGCCTGAAACAGAGGCAAAAGAGGGCAGATTGGAAAGCTTTTGTAGTCATTGAACACCTCGAGGCTCGAGGTAGTGCACAATGGACGGCACCGCACTGCACCACCACCTCCAGCGACTTGAATTTTGAGTCAACTCAAAAGTCAACTCGAGGCTCGAGGTAGTGCCCGATGGACGGCACCACACCGCACTGCACCACCACCACCTCCAGAGCCACCACCGCCTACAGGTAGGTCCCTACGTGAAGCCCCAGACAAACGCAACGGCTACCAACACATACCATGCAGCCGGTACCCATCGTAGCTGTCCAGTATCTCGAGGTAGTGCACGAAGGACGGCACCACACTCCACCACCACCTCCAGCGCCACCACCACTTGCATATGCAACGGCTACATCCCTACGCGACGAACTCCAGACAAACGCAACCGGCCGCGTTTGTCTGGGGTCCGTCCTTACCAGCACAAACCATGCAGCCGGTCACCATCATAGCCGTCCAGCACCTCCAGGTAGTGCACGAAGGATGGCACCACCACCTCCGCAACTACCATTCGTGACCAGCAGCAGCACGACCACCGTCACATCCAACACATACCATGCAGCCGATCTCCATCATAGCCGTCCAGCACCTCCAGGTAATGCACGAAGGACGGCACCACCACCTCCATCTTGCCGTCCCTGTGACAGCGATCAGGGCAAGGGAGACGAGGAATGTGAGGTGAGGGGCAGGCAGATTGCGGTGAGTGAGGGGGTTTGACAGCAGGTCGTCGGCCCTCTAGGAATTCCCAATGCGAGGGCAATGAAATGGAACGCTGGCGCGATAGAGGTGAGGATTCTGAGCCATCGATTGTGAATGAAGGTAGACCGATTTGCGAGACCATAAGCATCAGATGAGTTGAACCAGAATAACGGCCTCGCACAACTGCCATGATCACAGCGTTAGATGTTTGCCAGAAACTCCAAATCGTTGTTATCAACGATATCCGACAGAATCAAACAAGAAAGTAAACCTACATTAGTCCGTACTGACCGGTTAATGTCAGCGACGAGGGGAGTGGAGTAGATGCTGCTGCTGACCTCCGCCTGCCATCGCAGCTCCAGATTCACGGGACACCGGCTGTTTCCCATCGCCTCCTCGTCGCTGCTCGTACGCTCAGTCATTCGTCCAACAGATCACGCCAAAGCCAGGAAGAATTAAAATGCAAGCACATGGCCAGTGGATGGTGAGAATGGAAGCGAATTCGTCGAAGCAAAAAAGAGCAGAAATTAGTAAAAAAATATGCTGATTATTACTAATATTAATGGATACGCTGAGTAAGGATTCTGGATCTGTATGCAGGCGGGGATAGCCGGAAGGATAGGAGAACAGCGAAGGAAGTAATATCCTTACACGGCTGGAATCGCATCGCTGTCGGCTGTCGCGTGGCGCGTCAGGAACTTATTCCCCTCATTGATGACATGCGAGTCTCTAGTAACCGGATTCGACAACTGTGCCTGACATTCTGTCGCCAGCAACGTCACCACGCACAGCACCAAAATGCCGACCTTTACGATCGGCTTCATTCTTACGCCTAACTCAAGCCGCAATGGACGCGAGACGCGCGCAATCTGCAGACCTCAACGCGACGGACCGACCATGCGATCAGTAAGGAAAATCACGTTATCAGAAAAGGATACTGGAGGACGCTGAATTATGGAGGACCCTTGGGATTATCGAAGCTAGCCGTGGTAAAGTTGCCTGATGGGATCAGCAGCAAGATCAAGATTTGGAAGAAACTGGAGGAAGCATACGCACTTCAGAGTGGAAGGATGTCATTTACTAGCTCAATATGAATGATTTATATATTGCCAGAAACATATTTGTTATTGGGATGCAATCAAAATTAGCGATGCCTACTTTCTGCAGCCTTCATGATGAGATCTTGATAGTTTCAAAGCTGTCATAAACTTATTACGGTCACATTATGATAACTTCAACATTGTACCTGAAATACAGAGCAGACAATAGAGAATGCATAGAAAGCTTCAAAATTGAGATGATATTTATGTGAACTTGTGCAAGCCAGCCTTGAATCTCCTCTATCGTCTCAATTGGGGAATTCCTAACCGACATGAAGATATGATGTTGAATGCGTCGAGGATTACCATGCCTGCCAATCCCAACACACTAAACACATGAAAGACTCATTTTAGGGCTAGCCCTCGCTCATAAAGGGCTGGCTTGGGGAATTGCGGTGGTTGGTTCTCACTCTTCCATGAATTGTTGCTTTCACCAGACTCTTTGTCTGACTGCTACAAGCTCTGCTCGCAAAATGGTACTAGATCCCTCACCCACTTCTATCCTGAAAATTCTATTCGTTGCCAACCTCATTGAACCAGTTTGTTCCCTACGATGGGCCAATATATGGGAAAAGATAAAACTTCAGTAAACATATGGTAGATGAGGAAACTGAGCATCAACCAGAGAATTGAGGAATGGAATGAGGATCAGGGGCACTGTGAAGGAGCAGGGGGACTAGGTCAAGACGGGGTGACAGTCTCATAACAACAAAACTAGTGGCGCCGCCCGGACTTGAACCGGAGACCTTCAGTGTGTTAGACTGACGTGATAACCAACTACACCACGGCACCTGTGGAAAGGAAATTATTTGTATTTTCCTGTTCCGTTTTAACGTGGTCTGTTTGACAACGCATTTTTTTCTTCTCTTTCACGGCGGCACTTGCTCTCATCCCATCTTCCAGCATCGCCATCCGTCGTTGCACTCTTCAACGACTCCCCGTTTCCCGCTCCCTTCTCTCTTTTCCGCGCCCGCTGCATTTCGCGCACTTCTCACCGTCTCGAACAGTAACGCCTTTTCCTGGCAGAGCTGCCGTGCGACGCTTTGCGACAATGGCGACTGTGTATCCGGAGAGCGACGCGATCCGAGAAGCTCGCGATCTTGTCGCGGAGCTGTGCCGGCACTTCTACACCCTTGGATGGGTCTCGGGAACAGGTGCGCGTAAATCACATCCGAAACATACCCCCGTAATTCTCACTCGCGCGCTCTCATCACAGAAACCCCTCATTCGGTACATTCCTAAGCGTCACTACCACCAACACTGAAAAGCATTGACCGAGATTGACCAGATCAGCACTGACCAACATTGACCGGCATTGACTGGTATGGTTCAGCATTGACCAGCGTTGACCGTCCTTTGTCAGCATTGATTGAACCACTTGTCCTTTTGTACGAGCATGCATGGATGGATGGATGAATGAATCATTCATTCGCACGTCAGGCCCACGCCCACCCAGCGCGAACATCCCATACTGCGATTCCCATACTGACAAACACATACTCAAATTCATGCTGCGATGACTTTTGACTTCGAGTCGACTCAATGTTGAACCACCGTCAGCGCACCATACCACGTAGATGCATCCTCAGACCCATTCTGCTACAAGCTACCTGACGCATGCATACCCAGACAGAACCAATCCCTCCTTGGATTCCCGCGTGTCTTGACTGCCTTTTGAGACATCGTTTCAGGCTTATAGCTTTGGTAACCCATGTCGTGTTTCGCTGTCAACACGATTGTCATGACTCACGAGTGTGTATGTATCGCATGTGTGCCGCTCTTATCTGCCTCAATGCGAGTGCTTGCTTCCATGGCATGCCAATGTGTGTGAAATCGTGAATGCATATACTGCGCGTGTCTGGGCAGGCGGCAGCATCAGCATCAAGGCAAACGAGCCGGGGAGGACCAACCGAGAGCGCACCATCGTCATGGCTCCCTCTGGTACGTACCGTATAGAATGGGTCGCACCGTACGTACACCTTCTCTTTACGCACCCATGCACCCATCCATGCACCTATTCATGCACCCATCCATGCACCTATTCATGCACCCATCCATGCACCTATTCATGCACCCATCCATGCATCATTGCAAACGAGCCGGGGAGGACCAACCGAGAGCGCACCATCGTCATGGCTCCCTCTGGTACGTAGTTTCCTCTCCTGCACATCCACCCATGCGTGCATCCACGCGCACCCATCCCTGCACACATGCATCACTGCATCTATGCTTCACATCCCTTGCTCCATGTCCTTCGCTCCCCATCCGCCCATCCTTCGGGTGCCGACGCCTGATGGGGCAGAGCTGGTGTGTGATTTTTGAGAATTCTCAGCGAGAGTTCTCAGAACTCAAGGTTAAGGCCCCCGTTCTTTCTTCCAATCGAACTCTCGCTGCTGCTGGCCATGCTCCATGCTCCATTCCTCCCTTCCCCATCACACCCATTCATGTACCTCCATTCCTCTTTGCTTTCTTCCCTCTTCCCATGCGATAATCCCCCCTTCCTGCCCCTCGCCCCCCCTCAGGCGTGCACAAGGAGCGCATGCTGCCAGAGGACATGTACGTGATGGCGCCTGATGGGACCATTCTCGTGGAGCCCAAGGCCAAGCCCTCAATCTCCTTCTGTCTCCCATTGCTATCCATGCCCCATGCCCCTCTCTCCCATACAGGCGTGCAGAAGGAGCGCATGCTACCAGAGGACATGTATGTGATGGCGGCTGATGGGACCATTCTCGTAGAGCCCAAGGTCAAGCCCTCATTCTCCACCCAATTCCACCCATCTGTGCACCATCACAGGCGTGCAGAAGGAGCGCATGCTCCCAGAGGACATGTACGTGATGGCGCCTGATGGGACGGTGCTGGTGAAACCAGCCTCATTCTGCACCCAATTCCACCCATCTCCACCCATCTGTGCACCCCTTCAGGCGTGCAGAAGGAGCGCATGCTACCAGAGGACATGTATGTGATGGCTGCTGACGGAACCATTCTCGTGGAGCCCAAGGTCAAGCCTGCCCCTCACAAGCCGCCCAAGTGCAGCGAGTGCGGGCCTCTCTTCCTCAAGGCGAGTACTCCTTCCCCCTCTCCCTAGAGCAGCATGCAGCATGCAGCACGCAGCACATTTGTTGAGCCCAAGGTCAATCCCGCCCCTCACAAGCCGCCCAAGTGCAGCGAGTGCGGGCCTCTCTTCCTCAAGGTGAGTAATCTTCCTTCGTGAAAAGAGCGGTATGCAGCATGCAGCAAGGATTCCTTGTGTGGAGCCCAAGGTCAAGCCGCCCTCCCCACAAGCCGCCCAAGTACAGCTATGTTGATATCACTTTTGAGAATTCTCGCAAGTGCTCAACGTGCTGCTCGTGTTCATCCTGCTTGGCGAAGGGGCAGTGATTCACAGCTACGACATGGAATGGAGTGGAATGGAACGGTTTCTGAATCAACACATGCCCAAATTCCCTCCTTCCACTCCCTCTTATTCCACACCCTCATGCCCCACCCACATGAGGATGCTGCAGTGAATTGAGATGCGTGGGCCGGGGGAAGGGATCCACAGCCAAGGCATGGGTGGCATGGTCTTTGAAGCAACATGCCCCCACATCCCCTCCCTCCTCTCCCCTTTTACCCACACCCACATGTGCATGCTGCAGTGCTTTGAGATGCGTGGGGCGTTGGCAGTGATTCGCAGGCACGGCATGGAATGATTGTTGAGTCAACTCGATAGTCCTCTCCCTTCCCACAACCGCATGCCCCACTCATGCCTCCTACTCCCCCATGCCACAGTGCTTTGAGATGCGCGGAGCAGGAGCGGTGATCCACAGCCAAGGCATGGATGGCATGGTCTTTGTAGCAGCATGCCCTTACATCTCCTCCCTCCTCTCCCCTTCTACCCATGCCCCCATGCCACAGTGCTTTGAGATGCGCGGGGCAGGAGCGGTGATTCACAGCCACGGCATGGAGACCGCTATGGCCACCATGCTCATCCCTGGCGCTAAGGAGTTCCGCGTGAGTTGACTCTTACGTTGACTGAGTGCGTTGACTGGGTTGACTTGAAGCACCATGTGGTACTGTGATGGCGGTGATTCACAGCCACGGCATGGAGACTGCTATGGCCACCATGCTCATCCCTGGCGCTAAGGAGTTCCGCGTGAGTTGACTCGTCTGACTGCTTTGACTACATTGACTGCGGTGATTACATTGAGTGTGCTGACAAGCGATTTTTGAGACATCTCATTTTTTTATTACCAGATTGACGGCACTGATGGAGGTAACAACATTAACTGTGCTTACTGAGGTGACAGATCGGAAACCTCATGCTGACAGCATGAGCATATGCTGCTGAGTTGGCTTGGGACTGGGGTGACTGTTTGACTGAAGTGTGCCTGAGTTGACTCAACGGCATTGTGGGTCATGACGACTACAACAGGTGTTGGTTAGCTTACCTTGCACTCACGCCCTCTCCCGCCGCCACACTCCCTCTCTCCGTCCCCCTCCTGCACGCAGATATCCCACATGGAGATGATAAAGGGCATCGTGGGCCATGGCTATTACGATGAGCTTGTGGTGCCCATCATTGAGAACACGGCACGGGAATACGAGCTCACCGACTCCCTCGCTGCTGCTGTGAGTTCATTTCCTGGTGAAGTGGCTGTTGAGAGTACTCCCTTGCCTTGCACAAAGCTGGTTGTCCCCATCATTGAGAACACCGCTAGGGAGTACGAGCTCACCGACTCGCTCGC